CCCTCTCCTTTTACAGGTGCTGGATGATGATTTTGGTTCTAGCATAACAGATGTTGAAAGGACACATACAGTTTTAATGATATTTCTACTAATGGCGGTAACTGAGTGAGTTTGAGGGGACTGGCCATTTCTACAGGCTGGGCCGATCCTAATGACAGGAAATAAGCCCTCGCTGTAGTCTAGAATAAATTCCAAGGCAGCTTACAGATGACTTCAGTATGTAAATAAGCCCTTAGGACTTCTGCATGCAGCAGGCAGTTCACTCTTGCTGATCCCTCTTATGTTGTTTCTTGGGCACTTTCAGACCACTCAAGTATCATTTGGTGAATTACTCCTTCAGGGCACTAACTGAGCCGACTTTGATCTCTCTTTTTTAATCTACAATTTTTGTATGTAAATTTCAAACCTTAAAAGACAGTTTCCCAGGATGGCATCCAAGAGATCTCATAGCCTGAGGATACTAAAACTATTTCTTGGGAGAAGGATGCAACTGAAGATAAATCTCCAACTGTCTTTCTTGGTTATTCTCAGGCTACAGGTTTTATGATCAACCCAGGCTGTTGTGAAGAGACCTAAAAATCAATGCCTCTCATTCCTAATGAGACCCTTAATGTTCAGCCTGACGACAGGCAGTGTGAAATTGAATACTGACAACTCTACCCAGCACAAATATTTTTACTATGCATTTCAATTTAAACATGTCAAGCCAATTACATATTTATAGGGTTTAAAGACTATTCCACTGAAGCCTTGGATAGTACACACTCTTCAATTCTCTGTTTAGTGTGAGAGGACTCCGGTACAATAGTCAAACCTCTTGCAAGTCTGTAATAAATCATCTTTGCAGCCATAAGCACGTACAGTTGACTGTGTACCACTGCTCTGCAGACCCACCCCCACCTGGTAGAATGTTAATTCCCTCAGTGAAATTGATTCCACCAGTTCTGCACATTATTTCTCCCTGTCTCCCATTTAGACTGTTAGTTTGCTGACAGTAGAGTACACAGCACTTAGCAGCTGGTTTGTGGAACCATCAGTCAGGAAATTGTATGATAAATAGGAGGGAGCCGGGCTTAGTGGCACTTCCTTCTGCTTCAGCAGTTTTCGCCCGACTTTGGAGAAGTCATCATGTGGTGTTTTGTCAAGGGCCGGGGCAGGAGATGGCTGTGGTGCGGTAACTTATTACACATGCTCTTGAGTTACGATGCGCCACAGCTGCGCTGCTCATGTGTAAATAATAAACTGCTAGGTGGTTAATTATGGTGGCTGCTGGCAACTCGGGCCTGTTCTTGTCACGTGGGTTTTCTTGGACAGCTTTTCGGGCCCATGATGGAATATGCTGCTGATCCACATAGAAACGACAAACCAAGATTGAAGGCAAGTGCTCAACATTTGAGGATGCAGGAACATTTTTGGAGAAAGGAGTTAGGGTTGACGTGATGTGATGCCACATATAAGGACATGCTCACAGTGCTTTTTATTTCTCACTCATCGTGTTAAGCTACAGTCAAGCACATCTTAAACTGGAAGAGGGCTGTTCCATTGCATTTTCCCAGAAAGTGGCTTAAGAGGCATGATTTCCACTAATAACCAATACAAGGTATAATTCTTCCCACAGACTTCAACGTGGAAGAGGGCTGTTCCATTGCATTTTCCCAGAAAGTGGTTTAAGAGGCATGATTTCCACTAATAACCAATACAAGGTATAATTCTTCCCACAGACTTCAACAGTCCAGGAAAAGTTGTTTTAAACTTCATCAAGAGGGAAACATAGAAGCAGTAAAACACTTAAACTAAAACCAGATGTCTTTGGTCAAATCAGAATATATCCATTAATTTTCTGTTCTTTATTTAAACCTAACACAGAGTTCATAAATTTCCTTGGGACATAAATAAACACTTTGTGCAAACTGTTACAACATGCATCACATACTTTCAGTCAGAATTAACTGTTAAACTCACAAAACACTATGGACTCAACAGTGAGAAATGACCACCAAATGCCCCAGTAATTGTGTTTTATATTTTTCTCTTAAATATTTTTGTAATGTTTGGTTATTTTCTCTTGAAAGAAGGAGAGAGGGTGAGAGCAAGTAAATTTAAATCCTGAAAGAATAATTCTTGAAAATGAAAAGAAGGCAGTGCCTTTATATGTCAGTGATAACACTGTAGGTTTTCCCAGGGGAAGAGATTGTTACACTGCTTGGGTACACTCTTCTGATTTTATAGGATTAGCTGGTTGGTCTTCAGCCTGTGCACATAATCACAGCAACTTCATTATAAAGACTCATATAAAAGATAATGACTGTTATTTCCTGGATATATGAGGCATGTATTAAATGTGGAATACTTTCACACATTTTGAGCCCTGACTGTATGAAAAATGTGGGTTTGTACTTCATCATAATTTATAGTTGCACCCACAAAGAGAAAATCAGATACAGTTAACACCCACTTATCTGGTGGAGAGAATTTAATCAGGCAGAGAACAGCTGAGAGCCAAGAAGTAAAGAAGTGAAAACATCTTACAACTCTGACATAGTTGTCACAATGTCCCTCGAAACAGTCACATAAAATGGTGCATGTGAGAAGCCCTGAGGAGGTGGGTCAGACTTTATGAATGCTTATGTGCACACAGTTCTGCTAAGTTTGTTTACCTGAACTTCAAGAGCAGAGGCCTGCAGGAGGCACGTGTGTTTGCATCTTCAGTGACACTAAAAGGAAAGGAAGAAAACAAAAGGACACCTCCATGTTTGGTGGCCTGTTTGAGTTTGTTTCAAAATTTTAAATCAGGAAACATTCACTGAGTATGTGTCAGAGTTTCAAACTATTGAAAAAGATGACTATGCTCAATTTTATGTTTTTTAGAAAGGATGAATAATTTTCATTGAAAATGGTTAAATAGAATGTTTTGGCTTCCTAGGGGGTAGCTTTTAATTGTCAGGATGGCTGAGTTATGTGCAACAGTGAATTTGCCAACATCTCTGGATAAGCTTTCAACTTAAACTTTAAAACTTAGCAAATCAGCTCTCAATATTTGCATTACAAAAGAACTAACTTACACATCCTTTAACATTAAGTCCTAAGTGGTGAGCTTAAAATATAATTGATTTGTTCATGTGAAATTTATAAAATATGTAAACCGTAATGATCAGGTAGAATCATTTTATATATATATATATATATATATATATAATTAGTGTATCCCTCACCTGTTGAGTTTCCAGCATTGTCATGTATCATGATTTCATAGTGTCAATGATATGAGAATACTAAAATGATTTCTTCCCTCCTTCTATAACCACCCATTTCCTCCCTACCCAGTCATACAACAGGCACAAAATATAGTGAGTAATTGAAATTTTCCTTCCAATAGTTCTCTTGGGAGTTTTCTAGATTCTAGGTCTGGTGGTAAACTGGTAGAATTATATAGCTTTGTTTCTCTCCCTGGTGGACCACATAGTTTCCATCAATGCCACGCTAATAGTTTTTTTTTATTCTTATTTTTTCTTTATAACCATAGTCTTAGATTCTCAAAAGAAGGGAGCAAGGGCAATATTCAAAACAAGGGAAGTAATGTATTATAATTTTTGTTTAATGTTTGCTATGCTTCCATTCCAAAAGATGCTTTATATGAAGAAAGTTTGGACATGGGGGCGGCCCATGTCTGTCTGTGTATCTGGCTTAACCTTCCAGGCCTTACACGGTGCCCTGTGCCTTCCTCCAGGGGTGGCTCAGAACCTGTCTGCAGTGCCTCGTTTGGAATCTCCTTTCAAGCCTGCTATCCTCAGCACTAGGGCAAGCTCTCCAGACTTCTAGAAATAACTCGAAGCCATCTGAGGCTTGTTTGGTGTACATTCAGTTCCTGTCAGTACTGCCTCGTGCAGGCCCCCAGGATGACCACATGTGGAAGGGAACATTTGAAGAATACCTCTAGCCTATTGTGTGTAATGTCAGCCTCATAGTCATGGAGTCAGACTTCTAGGTTCTGGACTCCTTAATTTTGCTTCTTGAAACTTGGAAAACCTTCCATGTGGTTACAAGTAATCAGTCATGCTTCTAATTATAAAATCTGTTAAAACTTTCTCCAATTTTTATAGTGAATCACTTTTTTTTAAACAAAAACATTTATTTTCAGATTTGCAAGAGATAATAGGTGTAAGTGACTATGAGTAAATGGGGTTGGAGGAGCTGTTTCTAGGAAGTGCACACACTCGGGAGGCCAGGATCCCCTGGACAGTGTGCTGGAGGAGGAGGTGGGGGGAGGCAGTCCGGCTCCAAGGTGAATGTTGGGGCTACGGTAGCAGGGATTCCCTGAGTTTGGCTCAGATCTCCCTCTGTGAGCCTGCGTGGGTCAGTTCATCTTCTTTAGCCAGAAAGTACAGTATTTCTCTGGCCAACATATGGATTTGCCGCCCTTGTGTTGGGACTGCGGAGGCCTGAGCAAGGCTAAGGAGGAGATTGTGCATTTAAACTTTAGACGTGTGTGTGTGTGTGTGTGTGTGTGTGTGTGTGTGTGTGTGTGTGTGTGTAAATACTCCTTTGTATATATATCAGCCGTGGGTTCTAGCAGGAACTTTGCAGAGGACACCCTTAACAGCATCATGGGCATGGGAGAAATGAAACTAGTATTTATATTATGATGTCTGTCTAAAATTTACTTGGCAGGGTAACTTTTTTTTTTTTTTTAAAGAAGTGTTTTGTAATCTGCTCTCTTGGTTTTGTGGCTCCCTTCAGCACTCCGCCCCACCCCCGCGCAGCTCTGGCCGGCTGGCCTTCCGGGGTGGGGAGCCTGTGTGGCTGCAGTCTCCCTGCTCTCCTGCTTACCCTGCCTGCTTCTGCATGCACCCCCCCAGTCACACAGCCTTGTATTTACCCACAATTTTGTAAGGTAGATTTAGCGTAAGTATGTAGTGAGGAGAGTACAGTGCTGCTTCACGCACTGAAATGTGGTTTCAATGTGTCCATTTTATACAGGTCAGACTTTCTTTCTTTTTCAGATCCTCCTCATCTTTTTCCTGCCTTCCATCCTCCTGTACCAATTGATGCAAGACATCATGAAGGCCGCTACCATTACGACCCGTCTCCCATCCCTCCGCTGCACGTGTGAGTACTAAAACTTCACCCATTAGTGAAGTGGAGCAAAATCCTGGCTTTTACTGTCTCAGGACTTTTGGTTACTGGCACGTCTACTGGGCTTTGAAGATGTGGTAGAAGTATAAGATTTACTTTTGAAATATAGCAAGCCTGTGTGTTCCTGGGTTCACTGAAGCAGATCCCTGTTGCTTCCTGAGGAATGCCTGTCATACTAGGTAGCTGGCAGATGTGAGTATTTCCTATATGTTTTGCTGACGTGTGTTCTGTGGGCTATAAATACAAAATTAAATAGTAAAATCCTAATGAAAAGCTACCTCTCAGAATATGTATTTGGTCGAGATTAGGTTTGAAGTTTTTCATTCTAAAATTCCTGTTATAGGAAAGTTCTGCCCTAAGGATCACCACGAACCATAATGAAATTTTTATGGTGGGCTGGCTGGTTAGCTCAGTTGGTTAGAACGTGGTGCTCATAGCACCAGGGTTCAGGGTTTGATCTCTGTACCAATCAGCTACCAGAATAAAAAGAAATAAAATAAAAAAAGAAATAAAATAAATTTTTATGCTAAAATTTCATAGCCCACATGGTACATACACCAACAGTTGCTTGATTGATGACAGTGTCACCCAAACAAAAGGGCAAATGTGATTGAGCATGTGGTTTACACAGAAATAAAAGGAAACAATGGTGGTGATGACACACTAGAAAGGGAAGTAAATATCATCTTATTTGGTTTGGGGGAAAAAAGAATAGTGGACTTGCAAACTAAAACAGTATTCTTTTGTAGTACCATCCAGAAAACTGTCATATACTGTGATAATTGGAGCCACTCTTTGGGAGGGGCTGCCCTTGCTAGCGGCCTTGATATATACGTTTAGTTATATCTAATAATCACCCTTCATTCTGAGACAGTAAAGCTAGAAAAGCACAAACAGTACTTTGAAGAATAATGCTGGTTATTTAGATGGTAGATTGCATCTCCATGGCTATTAGTTACAGCTGTGTAATTACATATTATGCCAAAGAAAAATGAAGTTGTTTTAAAACAAGTCCTCCTCTGTGAGCAGAATTAATTGATATTAACAATCCTAACTACACGCCCAAATACACATATAATATTTTACCCACAGTTTTTTGGATCCATCTCCCATTACTGAATGGTAATTTCAGAGCAGATTTGCCTGGAGGTGAGTAATAAGTCTGTGTTGCAGACTTCTATAAGCATTAAAGGAGAAGTGGGTATTTATAGAGAGAATGCAGAAACTCATGACATATTCTTCAACTTTTCACTGAAATACAAGGAAGTATTTACAGGATTCTGAAGCCTGCTAAAAACACTCAAAGTCAAGGGGCCAATTTAAAATCCCCTATACAAAGGGAAGGAAATTCCAAATTCAGTGTGAAACATGACATGTAATTCACCCTGTTATATAGAGGTTTTATGGTACAGATGGGATCATGGATCTCAGAGGAGGGTCTGCCCCCTGGGACACAGCATGCAAGGGCCAGATCGGCCCAGGATGCAGGGATGGCTAATTCCTCCCAGATTTTAGTCTCCGTGATGTAGTAATTTAAATCAGATCTTCTATGGGATTTTAAGGTTCTTCACTTTTTAAAAAATCATGTTCTAGAGACATTTTTAATAATGAGTTTATTCGATATACTAATCTGTGTCCTCTAGGTTCATTATACTTTGCCTTGTAATTAAATTCAGAGATGAATATATCAGTGAAAATCCCAAGTCTTGGTTCTTTGGCTGAATTTAATGACAACAAGCCTTCCTGAGTCCCTGCTCTGTGCTGCAGGCACTATTTGCTGCACTTGGCATTGGCTCACAGTGATAGTCCCACCACAAGATAGTGCAGGCCAGGTCTGGAGAACCCTGGGTTGGGAGCTATATTTTAGGTGTGACGGTTGAGCTGGGATGTCTATGGATGTCAGTAGTATGTTCTGCTTTTTCAGCCAAGCTTTAGGATACTTGAGAAGCATCCAACTAAATTGTTCTCTAGCAGCCTAAATGTATAATTATCAAAGATTCATCACGTAAGGCTAGTAAATAATAATGAGCTTCAAAAGAGAAGTCCTGAAGTTCTGAGGGGGAATGTCACTGCAGTGGGCACAGAGTATGGTGAGCTTACAGGTCTGTGGCCTCCTGGTACTGCTTAACTTTGATGCATCCTAGCAGGGCCCTGGGGGGACTCCGAGCACTGGAATTGGGCACTGGGAAGCTGGGGCATGTCACGCCTCTGTGCCTTTATGGAATGACATTCTCTCTGCATCACCTTAAGTGGCCCTTGCTCTCTGTATGGCGAACTCCTGCCAGTATTCATCCTTAAGACCTAAGTCTAGTGTCACCTTTGCAGGCTGTCCCTGAGGCTGCTCCTGTGGCACCTTGCCTGTACCTGTATTGTACCTGTATTGCTTTTCCTCTTGCTTTGTCAGTTGTTGTTAGCAGGCGCTGCCCCCTGCTAGGTTTGTGGGCAGTGCCCAGCACTTGGCCAGATGCTTTGAAAAAAAAAAAAAAAAAAGTGCTTAGTGGACACTCCCTCCTGCTGGTCCGGTCTGGGAGATGGCAGATGTGTCATCAGAGAGCTCATTCCTGTTCTAACGTTGCCACTCACCTGTGCTGTGAACTCTGGCAACTCACCCTTGCACGTGTGGGCCTTATTATGTGGAAATGAAGCTACCTGCTTTACCCAGCTATCCAAACTGCAGGGAGAGTTCACTGCAGTCATGTTCACATGAGCACTCTGAAAAGCCAAGAGCTCTCAACCAATGTGGAGTTTCTCTTCTGGCCTAGCTCAGTTATAAGTTCCTGGGTTGCTTTCGCACCTTCTGAGGTCTGATAAGTAGGTTCCTGTGATCACCTCGGAAGGAGGAGGTAATCTAGGTGAATATGGCTTAGTTACTTAAATCTTAAGTGCACATCTTCGCTGAGGGGTAAAGCAGTAATCTGGAAAAATAAAATGATTCCATCTAGAACTTGAATTTCAAAATGTTTGCTATATAATTATATCATAGAAACTAAGATCAAGTGAGCTTACTAAGTTTTTAGAATAAATATTTTTAATTATAAGGAGACAAAATTTGGGGATATTCTTACTGTTTTTTATCACAATTCTTCTTGTGCTAACCTTAAAAATTAAATTATAAGTCTCTTAAAAGCAAGGATTTGTGTTGATGGAAACGCCGGCAGAGCACTGTTCAGAAGGATGGCAGGCGCTGCGGTAATTATGTTATCAAATCCTATCATTAAAGATTCTATTGAAAGGGGTTTATAAATTGCTCCTCTTTTTAGATAAACCACCCTATATTAAGGCATCAACGATATGGTGCAGAATTAAATTAAAATCTCATAAAATGAAATATGTTCTGTATTAGCTGTTTGACACTTAATTTGCCTCTGAATGAGTAGGGGAAATCACAAATTAACCTGCCTTTGTTTTTCCAACCATGGCTTATTAGGTGTTAGAACAACTGCAATTACAGCCTAATAATAACCACTAAGCTTTATAAATATGTACGGAAACGTGTCAGTTTGTGTCAAAGAACCAGTGTGTTGAACGGAATGCCTTCACCTCACTCTGCTGACTCTCACAGTGCTATCCACAATTTATAGTTAGGCAGTATAGATAGGTTATAGAAACCTAAATCGGTTCAAACACCATGCTGGAAATAATATTAGAATTTATTAGTATTTCCTTTCTTAACTCAAAATCATGAATTTATCTTTTTTTTTTTTGGTGACCGCAACCTTGGCTTGGTGTCGCCCGCACCGCTCTCAGCCAGTTAGCACAGCAGCCATCCCTATATAGGATCCGAACCCGCGGCCGGAGCACCGCTGTGCTCCCAGCATCGCACTCTCCCGAGTGCGCCACGGGGCCGGCCCCAAAATCATGAATTTAGAATCAGAACTTATAAGTGGGACATGGAACATAGGCATCATCTCTCGCTGAGTTGTCACGTAAATGCTGTCTTGTAAAATGTAAATTCCTGCATTGTGTTTATTTAATTCAAGTAGTTTGAGAATTAAGGAACACTGGATGCGGGGAGTCTTTTCTTCTGAAAGTTATTCTCAACTGAATTCATCAGGCAGGCTTATGCCCAGTAGACCAGTGGAATCTCTCTTTTTTTCTCTCTCTCTCTGTCAAATCAATTACTATGGCCACTGATTCTAAGTTTATTAAAACATATAGGTAAAAGTATCTGAAGTATCTTAAAAAGTATCTAAGGTCCACTTTATTATATTACTGAGATTATTTGGAGCATTAATGACAGAAACAATCTACAGACACGCGATCAGGAGAGTAATTTTTTGTGCATAATTTTACTATTCGGTCTTCTCTGTACTTTCTGCCTTGCATTGTTCACATCAGGGATATATCCCTGTGTAACTGGAGGTGGCACTATTGTATTCTGTGGGAATAAATGATGCCCTTTAGGCTAAAAATTACTATTACTTTTAAAATTTTCACTTGGAAATTTAGACAGTTGTTATGTTACATCGCCCTACCCCAGAATGCAGTTGTATTTTCAAATGTCTACTTTCTACAGTAATGAAGAAAGCACTTTTTTTGTGTGCTTCTTTTTTTTTTAAGTGTTAGAACTCACTTAAGTATGCTTCCTTTTTAAAAGTAGACATGAGGTATTTGTAGAAACACAAATTACAACATAGCTTTAAATTCCAGTTTGATTTCATTTATTCTGGATTTTTGCTAGGGGAAAAAAAACCCTATCCTTTACATACAGCCTTTTTGATGCAAAGTTATCTCATTTGTGGACAGTGTGAACTGAGTTTCACACTGTCCCTTTGCTTCACACTGAGCTCTGCGGTTCACTTTCCAAAGCAGGGTCCACAGTCACTAGCCCATCACGATGGTTTAAGCACCACAGGCCTTCCTTCTGGTTGAGCTGAGAGCCGCCCTTGCCACGTGCAGTGGATGCGAGCATACACACCCCGGGACAGTTCACAGAGAGGCTGTTGCATTTCACTGTCCGCTTCACTAATTCA